TCTCGATCCGCTGGTTTCTTTGGGATTGGCTTGCAAAAAGCGTGAGGGTCTACCTCACTTATATCACCCGTTAGGTATAGGTGATGCGCGGTTATTGTACCTAGGTAGTTATATATATTAGAAGGATTTTGCTAGAGTTCGTATTACACATGCTGCAGAGAGCTTGGAGATGATAAATCAAATTTCAAATCAAGCTTACCGGCGACTGTTGAACTGCAGGACCGCACTGCGTCCACGGCCGCTGCAGTAGAGCAATGCTAAAGACCTCCAGTTAGAATAGGACCGAAAAGCTACATAGGCCCAATACTCACCTCCAGCACAATTCGAAGTTTCGGGAACTTCTCATTCAATCTCTTTAATGTGGGCAGAAATAGCTCTTCGAGAGAGACATCGTCCTTTGGTACCGTTCCGGGTACTTCTCCATGTAGGTTGAGCACGATGCCATGCGCCTCCATAGCGGCAAAAGTGGGTGCGTATGTCTCAACAAAATCGCCAGCAACGCCCGATTCCGAGTTCGTAGTGACGCCTATTGTGATGTTAATGCAGTGGAGCTTTAATTGTTAATGAAGCGCCGACCTTGCGGGTACAACTTGACCCCTGCAATACCCGCCTTTGCAGCTTCAGCAATCACATCAGGGGTAACAGACGGATGAAGCTAATCGTTGTTAGTTAACAATTCCTTTCCAATAATTCCATAGACGGCTCACGTATAGAGACATCAAATAGTTGACATTAGGATCGATAGCTTGTAGACGAGACTTATATTCCAGAGCAGCAGTTACGCTTGTGACGGGAGGTTGGAGGTTTGGCTATCATCGCAATTAGCTCACATATGAAGCAGATTGAGAGCCCTGATTAATCTTGGCATACCATGACGAAAACAGTGTCTACTCCTCCCCTCCGAATAGAGGGAACCACCAGGTCCATAACCTATAACAAGTCAGTTCATCTTAGCTTAGTTCGTAAGTCTCCAAACAGACCTGGTCTTGTCGCAAGTGGACATGCATGTCCGCCGTCGGCGGCAGTTCTAGCCGGTGTACATCCTTAAGTCTCATCTTGGTATAGGAGTCAACTGAGAAAAGGGTTTCCGGGTAAGTTGAAAAGCTCGTAGTCTATGGAGACCTGATCGCGTTTCCAGCTTTCTAGATATGCTCAGACCATTACCCCACTATCAAAATACCTACCTCGATAGCTGATAAACAAGCTGAGGAGGGGCACACACACGTGATAACTCAATTAAACCCCTGTCGCCAAGCAAGAATATCACGCTATTCCTAGATAGGAACATAGGATTTCCTATTCAGGACGTACATCTAATTGCCAAGAATGCTACGATGTTATAACACTCGCGTCGTTTTACAAGCGAGACCAACTCCCTCTACTCTCACCTAGTTTTAAGCCTTGAAAATCCTACAAATTATCTAAAGCAGTTAGATGCTAACTTATTTTAACTACAGCACTTGCGGAATGATTCCGTTCTAGAAGTAGTCCCTTGAATGGTCTTTGTTGATGGTTTCCGCGTACATTTTTTTCATTTAGAAATTGACATCTTTGAAGTCCTGTGAAAACTGGTTATGATACGCAATTCAGCCGACATGTACACATTGACCTTTTTAGTATCCGAATGCCATGGAGCGGTTTAGATAGCGCGATTTCATTGACGTAGCCCTGACGAAAAAAATGGAAACTAGCTAGTTAGTAGCTAATTGAAGAAGCTTTCTCCATGGGTTTAAACATGCCCCTCTTATTCTACCTCCGACAGGGATAGTTTTCTATTAGTAATATCCTCGTGGAGAGTATAGAAAACTACTTATACGTGATGAACGATACCCTAAACCGCGGTAAAGGAGGCGAAAATCTTCGATAGTGTTGATTGAGAGGTTTTATAATATTCCTACCGAGAATGCTTATAGTATTACCCACTCACGCCCATAGCTATGAAAAGGATTACCTGTTGCCAATGTAACTAAAGGTGTCTATGAGACCTTGGAGTCTTATAAGAGGTCTTATTCGAATAAGTGAAGAGTGTCTTGTCGAGAGAATTAACTTTGAAGCCTCGTGAGCGAGTTGTAATCCTGACATGTTTGTGGCGGAGTCCAGGCATCCAGTTAAAATACTCGTGTAGCACTGCTAGCAGCAGCGGCGCCAGGGGATATATACTAGGGGTAATTTACATGTCACAATGGTGTTTATTTACCTCTATTTATTTGCCTTTACTCGTGAACTCGTATTATTAACATCATCCTTTCCAAATACACAAAGTCTCAGATCACGGCCCTTTACAAACTATTATATCTTTATTATTTTAGCACGAGCCATGATGGATTCTAGCTTCGAGGTAACAGCTACGGTGCTTTTGGCAACTGTAACCATCGTCTTAATCAGTACTCTTATCCTCCTCATCATCCGCCTCCCATCAACACGAGCACGCGGTGATCTTACATGGGACTCGAGAGTGCTAAGTGAATGGGCCAAATACCAAAATCTTCGCCTTCGAAAAAGTCCTTCACTAGACCCACCATCCGATCGCCGACACACCGGCCCCTGGAGTTGGAGCCTGGCTAGTTTGATGAAGGTCAGCTCATTGAGGCTGCCTATCTTTGAATACGTAACCACATCCGAGCTGCCTCTCATTTTCCTAGCGTCTCCGGATAACACGAGGGGCCCTGTGGAGGGCGAGATCTGGTATATTGACGGCTCAACCGAGAGCTGTAAGAAGACCCGTACGACGCTACCCGAACATTTTCGCCGCGTTGATAGCTTCACGGGAGATCAGAGCCTCCCACGAGAAAGCATTAATAGCGTTGCCAACGGTAAAGCGTCGTGGCTTGGATTACTGGAGATGCTCCAGCAAATGGAGCGTGATTCAACTGATTGGGAAATTCATCAGTGGCGAAAAGTTAAGGGCGTACGCCTTGAAAATGTTGATATGGCAAGCCTTGCCGTGGGCGTACAGCCGTATAAGCGCGCCTTCCGCGGTGATTCAAGGTTTACACGGCCTTATGCGACGACTACAATTAGCCACCTCGTCGAGCTAGCGGCTGTATTAGGCCTCTATTGGAAGGAGTTCGATAGAAACGAAGACAAGTACCGCGCTGAGGGCAATGGACTAAGTTTTCGAGGCACGAGGACCGATGATATTGGGCTCGTGTTCACCTTTGAGCGGATGGGTTGGTCTAACTTTGGGGAGAAGAGAGTGATCCCGACGTCAGACGTAAAGGAATTGTGCTTTGGTAACGCGCCGACCTTTTATCGCGCACGAGAACCTTCCGAGGATATGATCTGGCAAGACACCAGCACTACTAGACGACAGACGACTCTCAAGACACTGCGCTTGGGTAGCCAGCAAGATCTATCGGCTACGCTTGCTCTAATTGGGTGTAATCAGGAGACGGTTTCGCGCTTCTTGAACCCTGAAAGTAAGAAGAGCCACCTCTTCCCAGGTACGTACAGGTTTTCCAACTCTCGAAGGCAGCTTGCTTAACGACATCTTCACTAACCGGCATAGTCGTATTCGAAATAATGGGAATGCTCTGTCGGAGGTACCACCTGAAGAATAGATGCTTCACATGCCTTCCCAACCCAACCATGCATTTCTGGCGCAGGAGCTCTCTCTCTCTGAGACGGCTGTTATCAGCGTTTCGGAAGAATTTGCGTGCGATAATCTCCGAGTTTGAAAAGCTCCCACCCTTTTACGTAGCGTACTTTCGGTCTATAGCCGATGAGCTTGACTCCCAGTTGCCGGGTGAGGATCAGCAATTCAGTCCGATCCATTTAGATCTTCTCCACGACGCGCTTCACAAAATCGACACGGTCTTGGGCGAGCGAAGTATACCTAAGTCTGTAGTCCTCGACGTCATACGCCGGCATCTGCAAGAGCTTCTCCAGGCCATTAACGAGCCAGCAAATGAGCAAGAAATCGAACAAAAAACCGAGCAAGAAACCGATGAGCCTAGCCACTCAAGGATCGGTAGTCCATCGTTTAAGAGCCTCTCCTTGCTCCCGCCCGAGTACCGCGAGCATGAGTTGATGCGGGTGTACTTCTCAGAAATCCGCCAACGCGTCGTCGGCGTGGCATATAAGGTAGCTGGAGCTGGTAATGTCGGCCCGCAGAATGGGGCAGCGGATGCGTCGTTGGAGGTGCACTTAACTAGCATCAGAGACGCTCATGATAGTGGCCATGTACCTTCGACTCAACCTGACGACATGATCTGTTCGACCGACTTCGATGCCACGCGAAATACCGCCTGGTGCGGACTGGTGCTTCGTACAATCTGTTGGCTGTTGCTGCATGATTTTGACGAGAATGATGTACAATTGCCCAAGAGCGAATTGCAGGGCAGTCGCCTCCCGGTCTACATCCAGTAGACCAATCATTGATATTGTATGTATTTTTTTTTTTTTTAGAAAAAACAAAGGATTATTGTAACGCAACTTGAGTGGTGGCCGATTCAAAGAATTTCGAATCGAGGTCTTCTAACTAACGAGTTTCTTTTCGTTTGATTTCTCTTGACTGCTTTGAAACAATAGGAAACTGCGTATTTCACTGGATAGGAGCGGTATGTTTCTCATAGTTTATATTCTTACGTGTTACGTAATCACAATCTCTTCACGACAAGAAGCGATAAACTCACTTTTATATGGGATATTAAAGAGAATGAAATCATAACTCGCATCTGCTCAACAGGACCAATGGTATCACTAAAGAATTATCCTCGGCTTTGGCATACATACTGACAGGAAGGGCCAATATAGAAACCAGACCCGGCTTGGGGGAAAGGAGTGGAGAGACATGCCAGCTAGCCTAGATAGATATTGAGCTGATACCCCAACGATAAAGCTGACAACCGAGCTCAATACCTATCTATCATTGTGATTAAGTTTCCGCGCTCATAAATAAATGTATATATAGTATAGTTAGTGAGTGTCTTGGAAATTAGAGAATGAGAAGTTGGAAAACTAGAAAAAAATAAATTTGCACATTCACTGCGCACAGGACACTCTCGATCGGGGAATCGAACCCCGGCCACCTGCGGTTTGCACCATTCAAGAATCATCAAATGACAAGCAGGTATCCTTACCACTAGACCAATCGAGACGGAGATGACGTGACATAAGATTAAACAAATTCAAATCCTTGATCGAAACTCTGGAAACAACCAGAGCAGTAGACGGGTAAAAGACAGTGAAAAGAGAAATCCCTAGCAGTGATTACAGAATTATAAACAGTGGGTTAGTCTTTAACAACTGGGAATAATGAATTATGAACTATTCTTTATGAATAAATCGCCGCTCGTGTAAAAACAAGATGCCGATTAATTTAGACAAGGATATTGTTTGGGGGACTGAAGCAAAGAAAGAAATTTATATATGTAGAGAACATACCTTACGAAGAACAATGCACTGTTTCCATAAGTAAATTACCAAAACTAAAGTACATACATACATCTACGAATCAAAGGCACATCTTCAAGTTCAATATTCAACTACTAACTAAACCACTATGGCTCAAAGTTCTCGCTACGCTGAGCTCTTGGCGCAGCTAAGGCCTCAGGACAACACACGCGGCGTCCAAACACTAATAGACAGATCTCGAGATTGTGATATAAAAATGAGGCGGGGCCTGATCGAAACACGCCAACTCCTCTATGGGCGGAATAGTGATGATGAAAACTATAACGCAGCTAAAAGAAGCAAACAGGCTCCATGGGAGCTGGACTCCGATGAAGACTCCGATGATGGGCGACGTGATAAGAGTTACCTAACCCCCGATGGAAAACAGGTTGTTCAAAGACAATACAAATTGATCAACGGCCACTGGGCATTTATTACGTACCGCAAAGAGTTGCACGAAGTTGATCCTGCCCTTCTTCTTAAGCTCCAGGAAGAACGTGAAAAAGAGCTGGCGAAGGAAAGGCGAAAAGCGGAACCGACAAGAGAACAGGGCATATTCTGCGAGCAAGGGATTTCACCAGTGTCTTGGCCGTCGAGAAATTTCATCAACGAAGCGAGGGCCGCCATCGTCAGAGATCATCAATCACAGCAAGGGGTGAAGAGGTGGGACCCCCCCTTAAATCGATATGAAACTCCGACGCCACCAGCAAGTCCGCCGCTGCCAGATGAAAGCGATTTCCAAAAAATGTTAGATATGCGGCGGAGAGAGGCCGAGAAAGCGAGCGAAGAAGAGGAGCTTCGTAGGTGGCGAGAGATAGCGTCGGCTCCTTTGCCAACTTCATTTCAGGCGAGAGGAGAGCGAGTCAGAATTGACTTAGCTGATGAATTATTCTACAGGCCAGAATGGGACTTTGAATACGAAAAGGACCTTAAGAATTGGGCTGAGGGGTTTGATAAGGATATTCTATACGAATATTTAGATGATAGTGACACCGCTGACAGTTGTGCTACAGTACACAAGGCCCCCATCCGTGAGCCTGAGCCTAAGGCAAGTCGTAAATCCTGCCTGAAGAGCCCGAGCCACCTACCCGACGATGAAGAAGAGGACCTTGATATCTGGCTGAAAATTGCCGATGAGGATAACGAGGGGAAGAAGCCACATCGTAGAGTCAGATTCCAACTTCCGCCACGTCGTCACAAGTAATAAGTCGGAATACATAGGCCTTCCTCTTTGAGCCTGTAAAATTTAGATGCTAACAAAAATGTGTTTCTCGTTTTAATCTCATTGTTTTCCGTTTTTTAACACTTTCTACTGCTCATCCAGCGTAAACCCTTGTGGGAACTCAACCTGTCCCAACTTCTGAGCAACACCTGTTGAGTCTACTGTACCATTGTCTTCATGTTTGTTAGGTCTTGAACCCTGAATATCCTTCTTCGCCCTGTTGTATTCTTTGATACGCGCCGTAGCCAACCTCCCTGGTCTTCGGCGGTCTGTTGGACACCGTAGGAGAGGTACTTGGATAATGGCGGCAAAGACGTCAAATACCTTGTTTATCGGTACTTTATGTCGTTTCGCAACTTCCTCAAACGGAAATGTTTCCTGACATGTCTCAGCCACATCAACTATCAAATTAGGTGAGCGTTTGCGATACGTGGGCTGAATGAGAGAGGTAGGTGGCTTTATGGGACTTGGAGCCGCCGTCGTAGGTGTGGCCGTAGTTTCTGGTGATTCCGTTCTTCTGGCTCGTTTGGAGCTTGGCTGTTTGTCTCTCCCGATGCCCTCGTCCTGTTGAGGGGCCACTTTCTGGAGTAAAGGCTGAGGTTGCTGATGAGGCGGTAGAGTCATGAAGGGGTTACGGTTGATTGGCATCATTACCGGTGCGAAGTTTGGTCCAAATTGATGCATATTACTGGTAGGCATGGCTATTATTTGAGGGTGTATGTGATGGCTGTAAGATGGATGGCACTGTAGCTGCGGTGTAAGATGAGGAGGGAGAGGCGCCTTTATCATTGACAAGCCTTGTGAGCCTGGAAATTGAGCTTGGTGCTTCAGCCGGGAACAAACCTGACACGGTTGTTTCTGAGTTGAGCTGATATGGTGATGATGGTTTTCTGATGGCCTTGAGCTACTTTCTAAGCGAGGTGTATGATGAGAGGGCTTAGAGTAGGGCGAAGGACGTGGAGGAAGCAATAGGGTGCTTTTCGAACTAGCTCCTTCGCTACGACTGGGAGTTGTTGGAGTAGTATGGCTAGTTGCGTTGATGGGTGTGTGTGAAGCATTGGCTTGATTGATATAAAGTGTGGACTTGATTGAGTCTGGTGTCATCACCGGCTCCTCGGCTTGACGGGCTGTATGACTCGGGCTTGAGTAGACTACTAGGGGGACTGAGAGCTTCGCAATGCTAGGTGTTCTGGGCGAATGTTGGCTATTTTGAACTTTAAACATTGCAGGAGAGACTGTTGATGGAAGTTGCCTGGGTGAGAGTTCAGGGGGGCTTGGTGGTCGAGGCTTGCGTAACGGTTGATCTAACACGAAGTTCTCTAGCACCGGCATAGATACGCCTCTCAGGGCATAAGTAAGTTCCATTGCGTGGAGATCGGACGGTAGGCCAACCATTCCCGTACTCAGTCGTCTTTCCATATCCCTCAAGTCACTGCTCGGCATTTCTATTGCCGCTACCGGGGGTTCTGGAGCAATAGCAGAAGCAGCAGCGGTAGCAGCGAAAGGGGCTATTGGTTGCTGAGACCTTGGTTGTATGGGCTGCTTCTCACTGATTCTTGGTCTCTTCACGGGCTTCTCCGAGATGAACTGGATATCATCCTCATCTTCGTCTCCTCCAAGCTGTCTTTTACATGGAGCCATAGCACCAATAAGCTGACGCTGAAAAGTCTGTTGTGATAGACCTAGTGGGACGTGGCCTGGCCCCCTGAGGGGGAAATGCGTTGGCATCATGGTGCTAGATAGCGTAGAGGCAATTGCCATGTAACAGTTAAAGTGGTAGGTTAGACGTATACAACATCATTAAACCTTAGGAAATAGCGAAAGCGCCTAGAGTATTTTTATTAGCAGATGAGGCTTCCATGAAAAGCCAGGGAGCCGAAAGACAACCCACTGTTCACCCCCGTGTGGTGCAGCCGCGATTCTTTCACATACATGCGGGCCTTTCTAGCACATAAAAGCCAGGGCAAAGGCAAACTCATAACAAAATCAAGGAGGCTTTGCTATTTGCTGTGCATAATGGCAGCGTGAATCTCGGACAGGGCGGACCTGACATTGATGCACAGGCTGGCACACCATGGTAGATGTTCTAGTTTCAAGATGAACATGTTCAAGGACATGAGACTGATTATGATTAGATATTTGTAGACTAATCAAGCTACCTATGGAATGAAGAAAAAAAGAACTTAAAAAACAGCACTCAAGGAGCTCTCGCAGCGTGGTTAAGATAGTGCCATGTCTGTCCATGTTTGATGGTATATACTCCGGTATGTACGGAGTAGCTACTAGGTAGACGCTTATCTATGTAGCCACTAAGTGATAAGGTTAGATGCAGTACAAGGGTGATATGACATCAGTAAAAAACTAAATGCCAAGTGCGAACTACCTGCCTATGACATAGATACATGGTTAAGTAGTGTAGACGGCTACTAACGTAGTAGCTATTCAAGTATATCAATATATATGTTTACCTTGCGTACTCCGTACATGTAGATAGGCAGGTACAGTCAATCATTGGGTGCACCTCTAGGTAGGTTTGTATGAGTAGCCACTTGGTGCAGCATACATACAGTTAGGTATAAGAAATGCACAGCTAACATTATCCTAGGTAGTACATGGAAGGAACCTCAAGTTCTTTCTGGATTACTGCCAGCTTCCTAGAACCACAACAACAGCGGGGCATTGCCTTAATTGCCCCACCAACATTGACAGCTCCAATTTATCACAGCCTACCTAATCCAATCCATCCAACTCCATTCCCTTGGGGACTTACTTAATAGATATCTAGGCCTAGATCCAACTAGTTTAGGAGAAGCAACGCCCAGATACAGCTTCACAAGTTCTTTATTTTTGGCTGTACCCAGCCAGAGCCCAGTATTGGTTATCCACCACCATGGAGATAGCTACAGCAAACCCCCTCCTGTCAACACAGAAGTCCTCCGACTCCGGTCTGCAGGCAGTTCTGCATCCTCTGGTCCTCCTCACCATCTCCGATTACATCACGCGCCACGCCCTCAGACAACAGCCCGGCCCCGTCGTTGGCGCGTTGATAGGTCAGCAGAACGGTCGCGAAGTCACCATAGAACATGCCTTCGAATGTGCTACGCTCGTTAATAACGATGACGAGGTCATAATAGATGATACTTGGTTTGAGCAGCGGTTAGGTCAAAGTGTGTCCCATCATGTGTTCTATTCTCTCCCGTTTATAGATCCCTATATGGACAGATTGCTGACGACGTGGCTCTAGTGAAAACAATACATAGTTCTCCTCAGCTCGACCTTGTTGGCTGGTACACCCTCCTTCCTCGGAGTGGCCCGACCCCATCGATTCTCTCCATTCACCACTGGATTCTTGCTGCACATAACGAATCCTCACTCCTACTCGGCTTTCACCCAGAAGAGTCTGTTAAGCACAACGCAGGCAGCCGACTACCCCTAACCATATACGAGTCCAACTACGAAGCTGAGGAATCAAAGACTGAACA